GTTGGCCATTGCCCGGCACATAGCACAAGGCCTCACAACTTTGTTTAAGTTCTTGAAAATTATTTGGTAAACTGAGAGCTGCTCTATCCCTGACATTGTCAAAATATCTACTGACCTTCTTAATAACTACAACATTAAAATATTCCATCATCTTTTATGCCTTTCTGGGTTCTGGAGGTAACATTTCTCACTTAGAAATTTTGCTTTGACCCATGTGTGCCATTATTTGCAAACAGGCTCACCTCAAATGGAGCCCCCTCCCAAAAAAAAGTCTAGAATTTTTTTTAAATATTACAGTACAATAGGCAATCAAATCAATGTACCCCTTCCCTGGAAGGCTTTAGCTACCTCCTTTTATATCCTCATATATTGGAATTTCTGGATTACCTATGATGGCCATCAATTGTCCATTGCTTACTGATTCAAAAATTGCCCTCTTAGACTTCATCTATATGTCTTTAGAGTGGCCACTGCTGTCTATACACTGGAGTCTCTTGGAGAGAGGTCCTTATTGACACTCTGCATGTGATTCTCCATTTCCAGCTAATTCTGCCTGGGGTCTTGAAAGCAACACTCTACAAACTCACCACAGCCACCAAAGCCTCTTTGCTAGTTTGGAGTCAAATCTGGGCTATTTGGTATGTCACACTTATAGTTTGGGAATGGCTTCACTGTTCCTTAGTCCTTTTCTAGATTCTGTGATGCTAGAGGGTTACCCCTTTCCCAGATATGTCAGCTACCAAGGGACCCCTATTAGATAAACTGAATGAAGAAAATGAGAGTTTGTGCACTTTATGTACACATTGTCCCAATTTTACATGGTAGAGCTTAGTGGATTATTGCTACTTGTATTCACTTAACCAGGGCATCTCTAGCAAAGGACTAAACCTAAGGATCAGTACAATGGGCCAAACTTCAGACTATCATCTTAGCAGTGGATGCACTGGCTACAATACAAAGATTAATCAAGACACTCCTAGTTGTCTTTTGAGTTCCATATGTTGTTGATGACCAAGGATTTCATCTCCCTTATTCTGATACACAATGGGGAGCTCTAGTACAAAACATTGGATGGAACTTTCAGCCTCCTTCCATGTCTCAGGCTACCAGAGTACCATAATCATGATTTAAACTGGTTTAAATCCAATTAGAAAAACATGATACACTTTAGTTGTCAAACATTAGGAGTAAATTGTAAGTCTTTTTTTTAATGTTTGACTGTTGACAGAATTTAAGCCTCACCCCTCCCTCTTCCCTTTCAGGACTACATCTAGATAACCTAGTAAAAACCCTGGGTGCTCTCTCCTTTAATGCCTGGGGGAGTTTCACACCATGAAAGCCCCCAGATGCACCCTGGAAACCTTAACCTGATCCCACAACCCAACCACCATAAAAACTCCAAACCAGTTGGGTGCAGTGGTGCACACCTGTAATCCCAGCAGCTTGAGAGGTGGAGGCAAGAGGATTGTGAGTTCAAAGACAGCCCAAGAAAAGCAAGGCACTAAGCAACTCAGTGAGACTCTGTCTCTAAATAGAATACAAAACAGGGCTAAGGATGTGGCTCGTGGTCTAGTGCCCCTGAGTTCAATCCCTGGTACCAAAAAAAAAAAATTAATTTCCTTTCCTTGCTCTTTCAAGATGTTTTCAAATCTGCTTTAGAAGCCTGCCTTACTCTCCCCCAAAAAAGCCTCTTAACAGAATAAACTTTTGATCACATGTTAATGTGTATGTGGTGTCATTAGCCTTGTTATCTGAATCAAATTTTGTGGTGGGGACCATTTCTGTGTCTTGGTAGTGGCCAACAGATGACCAGCGCAGCTAATCTGAATGTTGGTTAGATACCTTGTGATCCTCCAATTTGGTAAGATGGGAGGCTATCAGGCCATCTCTCATTCACTTCCCAATCTCCTTCGGAGACTGTCATGAACTAATACTCACCACCAATCCATTTCTGATGAGACATGGAGCTGCCTATCTTATGTCCTTCACAATAGAACTACAGAATATAAAACCACTGTCCTGCAGTTTAGATATGGCTCTTCAGCAAGAATATCCTTCAACTTGCATTAGGATCATCCAGCTTCTTTTGTTTCTTTTTTTTAAACTATTTTTTTTAGTTGTTGATGGACCTTTATTTCTTTCTTTTATGTGGTACTGAGAATCGAACCCAGTGCCTCACACATGCTAGGCAAGCACACTACCACTGAGCCACAACCAAGACTCTATTGTTTCTTTGTTTTCTTTTAGGGTATGTAGGGCAAGGACCTGGGGAGCTTGCCCCTTTGTCTCATTCTTCTTTGCACTGTTAATACAAATACTGAAACTGAATTGTCTAAATCTGAAAGTGCTTCCCTGTATCTATTATCTGTCAAATCAGTTAGGCCTTGGCCTTGTATGTATGATCTTATTACCATATAGTCCTGATTGTTATAATTTTAAAAAATATATATTTTTAGTTGCAGATGGACTTTTATTTTATTCATTTATTTATATGCAGTGCTAAGAATCAAACCCAGTGCATCACACACGTAAGGCAAGTGCTCTACCATTGAGCCACAACTCCAGCCTCTGATTGTTATCTTTTGCCCATAAACTAAAACAATGTAATTAATGTACTTGATTTCATTCAATAGTTCTTACACTGACTACTGAGGGCTTATCATGTTCTTCAATCATTTTGTATTTGGGGAGCCTTCACTAAAATATCTAATATAGCTGTGGGGCCAAATTAGCATCTGATGGAATATCATATAGTCCTTTATAAAGCTAAGAAATTAGGACTATATTGGAACTGCAAGATTCTGAAAAAAAAAACATGATTTGTAGATAAAATATTCTCCTGAATTAAAAGAAACTTGGTATAGACCACATCTTATGGTGTCTTGTTCTTCATATTTTCCAGAAAACAAATACTTTGTAAAATAACAAACAACAGCGTATGTTTGACAAGTAGGAGTGTGACAATCATTTATATAATAAACATACAAAGATCATGGGTGATATGTTTCAGGCTCTATGTTAAGACTTTGGGGAACAGGGGCGACCCATTTTTTAGTTGTTGATGGACCTTTATTTTATTTATTTCTTTTATGTGGTACTGAGCTGGGCCTCAGACCTACGGAACTTCAGCGTTTGGAATTCAGAAACATTCAGGCTAATGAATGTATTATTTTGATAAGAACTGTGACATAACAAAGCAATGGGTTCCAGGAACACACAAGAATATAATGCTCTGGGAGATCAAGAAGGGCATCTCATAAACAGTGATTTGCTTAGGTAAGGGCTATGAATATCCCCATTTTGCAAATGGGAAAACTGAAGATTAGAGAAGAAGATTAACCTGGCAGAGGCTATGTAACCTCTGGTGAGGCCAGTTTTGACAATGACTTGTTAGGACTCAACTCCAAACCACTATTTGTTTTAATTTACCACTACCATCTACAGATGTCCTGACTATTTGCTTGACTCCAATTTTTAAAATATCTGCTAAATCAGAATTGACTCAAATTAGAGAAAACTATATCCAGGGAAAGACATGAAAGTTTTTCTGGTATATTACTATGCCATCTCATAGGGAAACCTTGGAATTGAAAACTGCTGAGCTATGAGTGGGAAAGATCTCTAAGGTAAACCTGTCACCTCTCCTTTCCCAGGTAAGTTGGTTCTGAGAAACTACTTGCTTTGGGAATTAGAGCACACTTAGATGGCAGAAGGGCAGCTTACTTTCATACCTAGGAAGGGATTTGTCTTCCCTGAAAGGAGCCCCCAATACTGTCCCTACTTTTTTCCTGCTCCTTCTTGACCCACAAAAAGGTGGGATTTCCCCTAGGCCTATCAGTGTAAACACAGCTTCACTAACTCTGACCTAGAAGGTTAGATTTCTAAGGAATATCTGCAGTCTATGAAATACAAATGGCTCACTACAATCAGAAATGTGAACTTCTTACTTTCCTTTCAGCCACCTTCAAATGTAACTTTAATTACTGTGCAACAAACATATCCACACCTATTGTTCCCCCCCCCAAAAAAAAACTATTAAAATGGCATTATTTGGATTTTATAAAATTCCATATACTTGTTTCTTGGAGTTCCTGCCAGTTAGATTTGTCAGATTAGCATGAACTTGACTATAGGTGTTGTCAAAAGCCCTGTTCATCTGACAATCCATTCTCATTTTCCAATAGGTATAAATAAGGACTTAACTTTTCCTATTCCAATGGAACAAATTAAAATAAAAACTCCTAACATTGGAATGTATCACTAGAGGTCTGGGACCACTAGGCATTTCAGGGTATGTCTCCCCTCCCTTTTGGGGCATTTGACCTCTTAAGCCAGAACTGGTACCCCAGAACCCAAAATTTTTAAACAATCTAAAATTTCCCTCCATCTCACATATCAACTTTAATTTAAAGAACTCCAACAACTATTTGTATTAACATTTTATTAAGGAAACTGCCAAACATACAAAATTAGAGAGAACATATGTAATAAGCTATCATTTAAGCATCACCCAGCTTTAGCAATCTTAAAGGCCAATCTTATTTCAATACTTCCAATGGACTTAATATATAGATTTATTAATTTGAAGCAAATCCCAGACATCATTTCAACTGTAAATACTTGGATGTGGATAAGAATTCTTATTTTCTTAATACCATTATCACAACTAATATCATATATCCAGTCAATGTTCAAATTTTCCTGATTGTCTCATAAATATACTCATTTTACAGTTTGGTCAAATAAGGATCCAAATAAGATTCATGCAAATATGAATAAGACTCTTTCAACCGATAGGTTCACCCTCCATCTCTGTGTTTCATCCCTGTAATATATTTACTGAAGAGACTGAGTCATTTGTCCTGGAGAGTTTCCTGTAGTCAGGATTCTGTTGATCTCATCTCTGTGCTGTAGAATAGTATATTTCTCAGTCTATAGTCTATATTTTCTATAGATGAGGAATAATGTCTAGAAGCATGGTTAAATTTAGGTTCAAAATTTTGGCAAATACATTTCAAAGAAGGTGTGGTATACTCACATCAGGAGGTACATAATGTCTGGGATGACTAAGACATAGGAGTAAGAATTTTTTTGCTAATACATCACAACTGCCTTGAAACAGTTTTGTGACACCTGATATACAAAAGCCATATATATGCTAGGCAGATGAGAAGCAGATGTTTTACCACTCAATGTTATTACAAAATATTAAATTATTTAAACAAGTCTTCAGTGATGTCTACCTTATTTCAAGTGATGTCTTGTATGCTAGATATATAAAAAGACTAAAGGAAATAAGTTCCTTGCATTCAATATCATATCTGGTGGGAAATACAGACACATAATTGAAAAAGCACAAAAAGAAGGCCACAGGTGCCGAAATAGAATTCTGTACAGATACAGTGGTAGTGCAACAACCTGGAGAAGAGCCATTGTTTTAACAGAAAAGAAGCGTCCAAAAGCATAGGATGAGCTGTGTTCTTGGGGATGTCAAAGAGCTCACCTGTGCTTCACAATTCCATTCACCATTGGGTTCACACACTTGATTCTTTCAAAGTAAATCTGAACAACATCTATGCCATTCACCTAAAAAAAAACAATTTCATTAATAGGGTTTTACTGGTTATCAGTTCTTCTAGTCAACAAACATTTACTGAGGATCTACTATGGTTCATCAACCACCAGAAAAGACTTCAGTGAATTATCCAGTACAGTTCCACTGTGAGGCCAGACGAGAGCCTGAGGAAATAACAGATTGTCCCAAGTACCAGGTACATTATGAAGCTGATAAATCAGAAATACACTGGTAGTAGACATTTCTAATCTGTGGATCAATGATAAATGTCTCCAGATTCCAGCCACTGTTCTGGGCTCTGAACATATGGGGAAGATTCAGGCTAGGTCCTAGTCCTCAAAGAGTCCATATTCTAATGGGGCAACAGTCAGTCAGAAAGATGATTACAATATTAGAATGATGCTGAAAACATTTGTTTTGCTTGGTGTTTCCACAAAAGTAACTCTGAAAAAGAAAGATCTGGCCAGCTGTTAGTACTACAAGCTCTAAAACAGTATTTTTACCTCTCTTTCCCAATTAACAACTATTGAGGGAAGAAGTGTGCTTTCTTACAAGTTAACTCAATTTAATGAGAAGTGAGAGAAGGAGCAGCTCCAGATTCTGGGCCCTTTAAGCAATCTTTCCCAGAAGGGCAACCAACATTTCTGGTACTTTACAAGCTGCCTGTTCCTGCTCTTACCCACACTTCAAGCTTTATTGATGTTTCTAAATACAAAAAAAAAAAAAAAACTCTTTACAATTCTCTCAAGTGAAATCATACAAAATAATTATTCATAGCCACTCTGAACCTCTTACAAGTTATCTGATAAACAGAACATAGGTTTCTTAGAAAATATAATGTTAATCTGTGTCAAGCATATCAAAATACCCTTTACTCTGAAATGTCTTCAAATTGTTTTTAGGATAAGAATAGGCACTTTTCCAGTGTGTGTGTATGTGTGTGGGGGGGAATCAGCCCTTTAAAAACGTGCTGAAAAAAATTTCTACTTCATGTATTAAAATTTAATTAATTTTTTTCAGTGCACTTGGATTTTTAGGGGTATGGTATGAACTGAAAAATTTGGCTGTACATTTTTACTGCAATCATCACATAAAAAATGCATATGTGCTATGAAATGACTGTGTAAGGATAAAATACTACCTGTTTACCAAACTTTTGGAGAATGGAGATTATAGACACCATTTGCTTTATCTCTGGTCAATTGTTTTATCCTGCACTATTTGGATTACTCTTTAAAATGAAAGACTACTTGGGTCATTTTCATTTTTTCTAGATTGAACTGCAGAAGTATATTTAACAAGAACCACCTATGTGAATTTGAAGGCATAAAGTGTGCTAGCTGTAAAATGTTCTGTTCCAATTTGGGAATGAAAGTCTTGGAAGTTTTACAACTTGCATAAAATAAAGATATCTGGATGCTAAAGAAAATCTTAGCAAGTAGTAATACTCAATCCAAATGTTTCTGAGTAAAAACCAGCAAATCTTAACTAGTTAACAACATTTAAAATTGGTTGTCATCAACACTGTCCTTTTCACATTTGTCAAAAAAATTACCTCAAGAGTAAAAAATTAGATTGTACATTATTATCTCTAACAATGCCAGATATAAGTTAAACCTCCCAAGTATTTGTGGTATTTCAGGTGGAGGTAGTTTTATGTATAAAATAAAGTAACAAACTAATAATCCCATTTCTCAGGTGTTACTGTACACTTCAAAGAATTTGATGTTACTGACAATATCTATCAGTCAACGCATATTACTGGATAATTATTGAGAATCATATTCATTGTTTTGGTAAAATTTAGAATATGAAATTATATATTTATCTTAAAGCTCATTTTATAAGCTGTCTCCTAGTCTTCTTATTCCTTTGACAACATTATTTTTGTTAATTTAATGTTCTTTAATTAGACATATTCATATATGGCAAAGAGCTTATTTTTAAAACAGTGTAAACAAAGATTTAAAAAATGATACTCAATTCTGAGTGACTGTGATCTTTTACCAGCTAATCTGTAGAATAACAAAATACTTAATTATTGTTGTCTTTATTTATCATTTTTATTATTGGTCTGTAGAATACTTTAAGAGTTAAGTATTATATAAAGAAAGATATCTCCAGGCATGCACTCTTAACAAAATGGGTGTTTTTCTCAAACATCTCAGGAGAGGAATTTAGATTACAGAGAATAAAAGCCAAAAATTTTAAATATACAGTGAATAATAGTGACCCAAAAGTTTTGAGTGACCCAAAATACCTATCAACAACATTAATGAGATACAAACCTATTGAAGGCTGCCCTAAAAATCAGGCAACCCCAATACCCTCTTCACAAAAGAGGCTTTCTTCTACCTAATTTCAGAGGAGGCTGAGGAAACATAGAAGTTCCAGAAGAAAGACTAATGTATTGTAGATGGGATTTCTGATACCAAGGAAAAAGAGTTTCTCATTTGACACCCCAAAAACTTTGTCCTGTGAAACAAAATACTTATCCTCAGCCTAAAAGAGAAATTGTTCAGGTGTCTTAACAGGTTGCAAAATTTGTAACAGTGAATAACAAAGAGATGTAACACATTCGATTGGGATGCCATCACCCTAAAAGATTCCATTCCTGTGGTTACCACCAGTCAGGGAACTTTAACCTGGTCATCACTAAATTCAAACATGGGAGATGATTTCCATCAAAAACGAGTGCATACTCGGAGAATCCAGTTCTTCCAGGGTGTCCAGAAATGGGCACTGGGCATTGGAAGTCCAGCAGGCTAAATCATACTCTATGAATACAGTTTTCATTATAAGAGGTGGCCATCACATGCGTTTTGCTAGCAATTCCCCAGAAATATCTACTTTATAGGGCAATACCTCATAAACTCAATGGGAAATGAAAATTTCTAGTCAGCAGTGAAAAACCACCTAAGGTGGGAATTTAAAAAAAAAAAATCAAACGATCTACTTATGAATAGACACAGGCATTTCTGAAAGAGGCACATCAGATCCCATTTCTGAAGCCGAAATTTTCTGTTTGACTGCAGGAAGAGCACAAGCTTTAAATTTTCCCATTTTTCTAATTTAAAACGATCCCAACCAACTCCCACCACAGAAGAGCTTGCTGGCAAGGATGAAGGAAGGCTGTGAAGGAAAAGGAAACTTCGGGGGAAAAATAATAGAAGATGCCCACACGATCAAGCAGGGCGCACTTAAAGGCCTCCACTCCGAAACAAACCACACGCCTGCTATCCAAAATGCGCACGCACACTCACGCACGAACATGTGAAGTACAAAAAAAAAGCCCAAACCAAAACATCACAAGGCGCGCGCACACACCCACCCCCAAGAGCAGAGCAGGGCCAGCACTTAAGGCACCTTTAAACGAAACCCCTTGCAGCTTTGGCTTACCGAAACATTTTACAGTGTCGCCAAGAAGCGATTTTGAAAGCGTCTGAAAAACGTGCAAATTGTCTGAAAACAGTGCCTGGCGACTGAGACAATTTGCAAGCGTGATTCAGAGGTCTGCCAGGGAAACAAAAGAAGCCTCTCTCCTGCCCGTGCGACCGCACATGGCAGGAGAGGTGCTCCCTCCTGCAGGGCTCTTCTGAAGCCAGGCGACCACCGAAGTCCGGGCGCCAGCGGTACATACTAGGGATCGCTCTGCGACGCGGACGCGGCCACGGAGTTTCCATTGGTCGGGGAGCCGCCCAGCTTCAGTTTCTCCAGGTACTCGGCGTGCACGGGCTTGTGGCACTGCAGGACCTTGATGGCATCTTCGATCTTGAACCACTCTCGCTTGCGCCCGATGCTAATGGAATCTTCCCAATCTTCCAGCAGCTCGGTGACAGTCAGTACATACACGTAGGTCCTGTGCTTGCGATCTTGGTTCTGTTCGAAAACGCCCAGGAGCCGGCCCAACTTCCCCTTGACTCCCGCCTCTTCGTACACCTCTCGCACCGCCGCGCCGCCGGGCTCCTCCTCGGGCTCCATGCCCCCGCCGGGCACGATCCAGCGGTCCGGGTACCGGCTGCTGCTCACCAGCAGCACCTCGTCCTCGCGCTCGCTGCGGAAGCACAGGCATGCAGCCCGCTTCTTGAAGCCCTCCGGGTCGTAGGTCCGCGTCTGGTTCGGCTTGCACTTCATCCTGGAGGCCGCCGCCAGAGTGGCCGGAGCCGCCGCCGAGCAGCAGAGCAGCCGGTCTGCAGAGAAAGGGCCGGGCGAGGGCGAGAGCGAGAGCTAGCGAGAGCGATCGGGCTCCAGAGAGAGTTGCGGGAGCAGCGAGTGCGGCCGAGGGAAGACTGGGCGGGCGCGGGGGCGGGGGCGAGCCGGCGCGTCAGTCAGTCCGCGGGGCGGGCAGCCGCCGGCCGGGCGCGCGGAGGGTCCCCACCCGCCGCCTGATTGGAGGCGCCGCTTCCGCCGCCTCCCCGGACCCGGCAGCCCACGACTCCGCACGCAGCCCACCGCGTCGCCACCGCCAGTGCGCCGCTCCCGCCCTCTGTCGCTCAGCCGCCCCCCGGCAGGGGTTGAGCGAGGTGAGGCGCATTCGCGTGCGCGCTCGCGGGCCGGTCCGCGTGCGCGTCCACGGCGGAGGGCGAGGGGCGGGGGCGGGGGTCTCCTGGCTCCCGGAGCGCGCGACGCCGAAGGCCCACTGCGCAGGCGCCCCGCACCTCTGGGGCCGGGAACCTCCTGCCCACACAGCGAGATTCGCCGCATTGGCACCTGCCCGGGAGACCGTTCCACGTGTGTCTTTCGGCCCAGCGTGGCTGTGGCTGTGGTGCCGCCGGACGGTGCTCCTCACCCACCCGCCCCCACGTTGCGCCAAGCACACGCGGGTCTTTACACACCCCGGGGCCGCTCGGTCCTCAGCCTCATCTCCAGAGATGAAAGGCACTGGCTGTTGATGGGAAGAGCCCCCTGTCCGCAAGATGACCAGCGGGATTCTTGGCAAGATCATCTTGCTGAGTCACATCATGCGGTTTTCTTTCTTCAACAGGTTCTCCACCTTGCCAGGCGTCTTGCTTGGCACAAGCCTTCCCTTAACGCGTTTCTTAAACCCCTATTTAAGTCGTCTCTAACCTCGCTGATCCTCAGTTTCCTCCCGAGGCCATTTCTCGCCTCCTAGTTCCAGACCTTTCAACTTTCAGTCATAGACACCTCACTACTAGGGAACCACCCCCGGTGGTCTTGTATCAAATCCCAAGAATCCACACCCCCACCCTTCTGTGTCTTTCTTATTCATAAGCATTGCCAGCCTTTGGGGGAAACTTGTGCATGGCGCTCCATGGCAGTCTTCAGGTTTTACAATTTGACTTGAAAAAGTCTGGTATGTGACTCCAGCAAAGCCACTGGGCGCTCATCCTGTCCACTTGGAAGAGAAATGGCACCTCACCAGAGGTGCCAGAGTTAGCAGCCTTCAGCCTTCCTTCCCCATGTATTTCTTCTCAGTGTTTCTCTGGTCCCTCCTTCGAGTAATAGCCTCATAGAGAAGCAGTCTGATGTCCCTAACTTTGTCGTATTGCATACTAAGGACCTTTGTCTCTCTCTTACAGGCTGCTGACATCAGCCAAGTGTCCCGGGGAGGTCATAGAAACCGACGTTTTTGTTGAAATCATCCCTTCCCTCTCGGGAAGATGGACACTGAAAAGTAAATGGAAACCAGTCATGAAACATTTAGTTTCCAGGCATCTGCTTGATTCCGTGTGTACCCAGAATTGCTAATGAAGATGATGGTCTTTTCCCAGGGACCACAAAAGCCTGAACTATCTAGGGCATGAAGTGACAAAAAGGACTGGGTCACACATGAAGAACCTGATCAAATGAAAACAGTGACTTCAATAAAAATACTGTTTCTACTGATGATATGTTCAAGATGGATGGATGATCAAAAAGTTTTTCAGGGAAACCAAACCTGTTCATTGAAAACAAGCTGGAAAATAAAATCCCTCCGTGCTACCCTAACTCGCAACTACACACATGATGTTAAACACCTAGAAAAATTCCATTACAATCGTGACGAACATAAATATGCCTATTATTGTCCACAATACTAAATATTTTTGTAAGTTCTTTCTGGTATGATGAGATTATAAACAATAAAGTCCAAACTGGTGAAATCAATGTTATCATGATTTCCTGACAAAAAGAATATTTTCTTAGGACACACCTCAGGGGAAAAAATTTACAAAGAAGTTGTTTAATAGAAGAATGAAACACTGATCTTTTGAAGATCTGGAGCTTTCATGCATGCCATCAGGAGAAATGATGACTATCAAACTGGCAGTGTCAACCACCACAAAATGTGTAAAATCCCAAGAGATCCTAAAAAGTATGGTGAGGAGTTCGTAGTGCATGATAGCACTTCTGCTCAGGGCTCTGAAAGATGATTTGAGAAAAGCAACTGGCTCTTCAGCAAAGCTGGCAGATTGGGCTGGTGTCTGAGCAGGTACAGTCCACCCAGGCCCCAGCCATGACCCAAGTCTGCTGCACATTGCAGGTCCCATCTCCCTTTGTCACCGGAGGTGCCATTTTCTAGTTTGTTCCATCCCTTCCACAGAAGACTCTGCTTATGCAACATGCCTCTGCTGGGGACAAATCCATGGCCCGTGAGAGGAACAGGAACATTTGAATGTGGAAAGAGATGCAGGCTGGACTCCTGGTGGCAAAGTCATAGCATGTTTCTGGATAGGGAGTTCCACAACTTACTCGTTTGATACAACAAGGAAATTTCCAGGTTAGGTTTTTTTTTTCAGAATTTCACAAAATAATTTTGTCATTCACCCGAGAGGAATGTGGTGAGAATGACCATGATTTAAAAAACTAAATAACTTTTAAGAGTAAAAATCATTTTTACAAGTTCAGCATTGCAGAGTCTGGTTTATTCATATTTAATTGTTTTTCTAAACTGTGTAATTCTGCATCACTGTGGCACTAGACATTTAGGGCAATGAGTGCAGTGCATTCCTGCTGGGCAGTGTCTCCTCTCTCCTTATTGGTGGGCTTGACCTTGGAACTGTCTCTGTCCACCAGCATAACAACAAATATGAAGTAAACATAGAGTTGAAAAGTGCTTGTACGCTAGGGTTTCTCTCTCTTTTGGCTCTTAAAACCCCATGACAGCAATCTAGGGTAGCTGCATGATGAGAGCCCTATGGCTCATTCATCCCATTTGCCCCAGGTGACACTGAACCAATTGCCCAACATATGTCTGAGACCATCCTGGACCATTCAGCCCCAGCAGAGCCCCTTAGCTGACAGGTCCCAGATGCATATGTAAGCTTTATTGAGAAAGCAAAAGAATCACTCACATGAGTCCAGCTGAAATTGTCAACCTGCAGAATCCTCGGCAATTGTTGCTTTAAAGTACTATATTTTGGGGTGCTTTATCATGCATTAAAAATAGCTGATACAAATATTAACCATTAAATTAGATCAAAGTTCAACCAAAAGCAGAGAAATGAATTTTCTTAGAAATGGAACCTCTACTTACAAAGGATGTCATTTAACCTTGCTGGAGTCAGAAGGAAAGGAATGAGGTTAAGCCATTTAATCTTTGCTGATTGCATCTGTGTGGCAAGCTCCCTGGTAAGCCAGTGATGTTATTTAACTGTCATCCCATTAACTCTTAGGGAGGGAGGCAGATACTATGTCCATTTTATAAAAGGGAACACTGAGGCTTGGAGTGGAGCTTATGAAAGCAAGGTATCATGTTTCCATAGACTGCACTTTCACAATATCACCATGTCTTGTCGAATGGATTATTCTGTCAGAGCTGTGGTTTGCTGTGGCCTTCTTTGATGATGTTCAGTGTTGCCCCTTAGGTAAGGTGTTTGCTCAGGATCACTGAGTTTGGTGAAATAAAATGTCCTTCATGGTGTTCTTGTGTACAACAAGTGAAAAGTGTCCTTCCATTTCCAGCAATGAATACCTTTGTCACCTTGTCATGGAGCCTAACAATTTGAAGCTTCAGTTTCCCCTGTAAGGTACAATGCAATGCAGTGATACAGAAAAGAAGACACTAATTTGTCATCACTCTAGGCCAGTGTTTAATTATGGATGGTCAGTTGTATTTTATGTACCTAATCTTCATTTGCCAATGAGTCTGAAAATTGAGTATCAACCCCCCCACCAACAGATTCAGAAATGGACTGATAAAGGTCAAAGCAAGAAACCAGTAAGTGTTGAAGTTAGGATTCAGACACAGGGACTCTCTGGGTCCCAGGGTAACCCTCTGGCACTCACTATGCAAATGTCCCTCCTGTTAAGGCTTGCTGAGATACACAGTGGCCTGGCATTCCCTTTGGTTAAGTCCTCCTCCTCTCAACATTTTGTTTCCACATGGAAAATCCAAGCTCCCAAGGGAATGTCACATCCATGTAAATTCTAGGACAGCCAGGACCCAAGCTGAGAGGATGTGCTCTGAAACCAAGAAGCCTGGGCCTCATATTCTGCATTTGGCTTAGGAAGGAGGAGCAGATGGGCAACTGACAGCAGCAGTAGAAGCATGCTCATGGGAATTTGGGGGCTTTACCCAATGAGAAAGCCAAAGAAGCTGGAGGCGCCTCTTCTGTGGCTGCTTTTCTGGAGTACAGCCCTGAGAGAGGAGAGCCCTGTGGAAACAACTGTTCCCTGGTATAGACAATGGGAGTGACGGCCCCTGAACTGGACAGTACCCCTAGCTGTGCCCAGCTGTCAGGAGAGGGATCACCAGGACATACCTGACAGACTTTCTGGATATTCAAAAGGGAAACAAAGCCAATGGAAGTGATTGTAGTACTGATCAATGAGGAAAATCATGGCACACAGCACTGCAAATGATCTAGAATGTAAATCTACCCCTCCCTGTAGCTGTGCATCCTTATGCAAGTTAATGTTTTGTTGCCTTGTTTTTTCTCATCTGTAAAATGTGGAAGGTACTCAGGAAGTCAGGAGCACCTACCTCATGACCCTCATCTCGCCCAAAGGGGCTTTTCGGACCATGTGCTCAGTCACCTTTTCACTGGGTTTAAACCACTCACATCTGGTTTTTCAGGCATCCTTCACCTTGAATTTTACCATATCTCTAATCAAGAGTTCTGGAACATTCCATTGGCATTCTGGTGAGAAGGGAGGATTGGGAGGCAGTGTGAAATGTACCTGTTTCCATCTGAGTCAGCA